GTTGAATATACCATGGACTGCTAAGAGATCAAACAGGTTCATCCTGGAGAGGGTGAAGCCAGGCTGCTCCTTGGAGGCAATGATTCTGAAGCTTCGTCTGACATACTTTGGACATGTTGCAAGGAGAAACTTGTCCTTGGAGAGGAAGGTCATGCTTGGGAGGGTAGAGGGACAGTGCAGGAGAAGAAGACCCTCGATTGGATGGATTGATTCAGTGACTAGGGTAATGAGGATAGGTGTGTCAGAGCCAATAAGATTGGAACAGGATAGAGCAGGGTTTAGGGTTGTTGTAATTAAAGTCACTATGAGTTGCAGGCAACTCAACGGCACATAACAACAATACCCAGATGCCACAACTTTGCTTGCAGAAAGCAAACACCTGCAGCATTTAATGCCTAAAGCCTTCGATATGGATTACATACCAACATAAGGAAAACAAAGATCCTCAGAAATGGCCTTTCAAGTGATAATATGATAGTTAGAGAAAAGATAGAGGTTGACAAAGGTTTCCTTTTACTTGGATCCTCAGCTGATGCCTATGGAAGCAGCAGTCAAGAAATCAAACAACATATTGCACTGGGCAAGGTTGCTGCAAAGGACTTCTTTAAAGTGCTAACATGCCCCATGGGGACCCAGACATGCCTGTCCCCCGTCATAGTATCATCAATCTCTTCGTAGACATCTATCACAAACATTGGACAGTGAAGAAGGAAAACTGAAGATCTGACGCTTTTGAATGGTGGTGCTGCGCTACCCAGAGAACAAACAAATCTACGTCAAGTAGAGCCAAGGATGGACAAGTTTCATCTCGTCTAGTTTGGGCATTGTCATTGTCAAGGATTGAACTGAGTCCCCTGCAACACACATGCATGCTACATCATGATTCCCATGATCTGCCACCGTTAACAAGTGTGAAAGGAAGAAAGGGAGGGACAGCACCCTTAATCCCATCTGATGTAAGGGGAGAGTCCCCCGGGGTGTGGCCTGTGATGTCATTTATCTCACAAGAGATTAAAGAGAGCAAGAAAAAGGCAGAAAACCCGAGCAAAGACAGGAGAGGGAAGCTTAGTGTCGCCAAGAAAGAAATGCAGACCTGAACTCATTCTTTAAAGCCGGTTTTCTGTGTTGGGAAACTCCCAGTGCCAGGAGACACAGAGAAGAGAGCTTTTGAAGGCCCTCTGCTGAAGTTGTTGCCATAATGTTGAGTACAAACCTATGAACAACAGATCTGAACCCTGTCCTAGCCTCATCATCTCTGACACAGTTGAGCCCATTACTGCAGTCTCTGTGTCAATCTACTTATCTTCCTCACTAAAGTAGTCACCCTGAATTTAGACGTCTAACCTCTTAAACTATAAAAGAGTAAGTTTTTACTTGTTAAGGCCATCTGTTTTGAGGTATCTTTGTTAGAGACTGGAGAACTAAGACAGGCATGTTACCAAGAGTGGACAATCCCTAAAGGACATCATTCTTGGCAAAGTAGAGTGTTAGCAAAAAAGAAAACCCTCCACTCGAAGGATTGGCAGAGTGGCTGTGTCAAATTTTATCCTCAGAAAGAGATTGACCCAGTTCCTTCTTATAGTGAGAGACCATGAGTTAGTTGTCTCTACTGCTTAGAAGATATCTAGACTTATTCTCATTCCCCCCCCCCAAAAAAGGTGATCCAACAGAATGTGAAAAGTATTGAATACTATCATTCAAATCCCATACATGCAAGGTCCTGCTGAGGATGATTCAAAATGGGCTAGAACTGTGTATTCACAGAGACCTGCCCGAAATACAAGCTCTGTTTAGAAGAGGCCATTGGCGGTCATTGCGGATGTCAGATAGGTCGTGGCAGAAAGCATAGAATACAAAAAGGACGTCTATCTTTGTTTTATTGACTATGCAAAGACCTTTGACTGTGTGGATCACAACAAATTATGGCTACCATTGAGAATGGACATCCTAAAACACTTGATTGTGCTCATGCGAATCCCATAGCTAGACCAAGAAAGCTGTGGTTCTAATAGGGCAAGGGAACACTGCATGGTTTCCACTCCAAAAAAAGGGAGCATGTGTCAGAGCTGTGTCCTTTTTCTGTATTGATTCAGTCTGTACACTGAACAAATCAATGAAGGAATTTTTATTTTACTTTTCAAAGAGAGAAGCAAACTGGGGGAGAGGGGTGGGCAGAGAGAAAAATGCAACAATGAGTGAATGGATGGAAATCCAAAATCTCTGTAAATGTTCATTAAAATTAATAAATTAAAATTTTTAAAAAATTAAATTTTAAAAAGAATGTAACAAATAAAAAAGACATTGATTCTTAAAAAAAAAAAACAAAAACAAAAAAACAAAGAGGAATGTCCCATTAGGATCAGAGGAAGACTCATCAACAGGCTGCATTATGCAGATGACACAACCTTGTCTGATGAAAGCGAAAAGGATTTGAAGTGCTTGTTGCAGAAGATCAAGGACTGCACCTACAGTATGGATCACATCTCAGCATTTGATGTTTTCTTGAAAAATAAAATGCTTCACCCCAGACCAGTAGACAGCATTATGATAGATGAAAAAAATAAGATTGAAATTGTCAGTGATTTCATCTTACTTGGATCCACAATCCCTTAGTACCAGCTGTCAAGAAATCAAAAGATGTATAATATTAGGAAAATATGCTCTCAGGGACCTCTCCAGAACACTGGAGAGTAATGATGTCAGTTTGAAGACTAAGGTGCACCTGATTCAAGGCACAGTCCAATTGCTTGCTATGCATCTGGAAGTTGGACAGTGACTAAGGATGACAGAAGACAAATTGATGCCTTTTAAATGTGACTTTGGTGAAGAGTTCTGAGTTTCCCATGGACTGCCAAGAGAACATGCAGGTCTGTTCTGGAGAAAATGAAACCAGGATGCTTCTGGGAGGCAAGGACAGTGAAACTCTGCCTCACATGCTTAAGGCATGTTGTTTAGTAGGGCCCAGAGCTTGAGAAAGGACATTATGCTTTTATGGCCCTTTGGATTCTTTTTTGGGGTTATATGATCTCTTCAGATTCATGGTTGCCTGCACATTTAAAACAAAACAAAAAGTCAGTGGAAAGTTCTCTGTGAATCAATGTGACTTGTCAGGTCAAGAGTGAGCAGTTTTGAACAGAGGTAGAGAGA